GCGTGACTACGAGTTGCACTCCCTCGACTTCTCGACAGCCTTCTTGCAGGGTAGCCTTCACAAGGCTATCTGGTTGCGCCGTCCACGTGGCTTCACTGGGTCTTATCCTGAGGGTACCCAGTTGAGTCTTCGGCGACCAGTCTACGGCCTCCAACAGGCACCCCGCGAGTGGCACGACACACTGAGGACTACGCTTGCGGCTCTTGGCTTCGCTCCCTCGACTGCTGACCCTTCGCTGTTTCTGCGCACAGACACTTCTCTGCCGCCGTTCTACGTTCTTGTGTACGTTGACGACTTGGTTTTTGCTACTGCTGACACTGAGGCTCTGACCTTGGTGAAGGCGGAGCTGCAGGAGAGACACACTTGCACTGACCTGGGTGAGCTGCGGAGCTACCTTGGCTTGCAGATCACCCGGGACAGAGCACGCCGCACCATCACCCTCACTCAGTCACACATGGTGCAGCAGGTCCTTCAGCGCTTCGACTTCACGTGGTCCTCGCCACAGCCCACTCCTCTGTCTACCGGCCACTCGCTCTCAGCTCCACCTTCGGACGAGTCCGTTGAGCCGAGTGGTCCGTACCCAGAGCTTGTGGGTTGCCTCATGTACCTGATGACGTGCACACGACCTGACCTCGCATACCCTCTCAGCCTCCTGGCTCGCTACGTGGCTCCCGGTAGGCATCGAAAGATGCACTGGGATGCTGCAAAGAGGGTATTGCGTTACTTGTGCAGCACATCGGGCATGGGGCTTGTGCTTGGAGGACGGGGTCCAGTTGTTCTCATCGGTCACTCAGACGCTTCTTGGGCTGACGACCAGACGACTCACCGGTCGACACAGGGGTACAGTTTCAGCCTCGGCACTGGTTCTGTCTCGTGGAGGTCCTCTCGCTCTTCCTCTGTGCTTAGTTCCAGCTGTGAGGCCGAGATCTACGCTGGGGCTATGGCTGCACAGGAGCTCCGGTGGCTGACCTACCTGCTGACTGACTTGGGTGAGCAGCCTCGTTCTCCTCCAGTTCTGTACGTCGACAACAAGGCCATGATTGCCTTGTATCAGGACCAGAGACTGGAGCACAGAACGAAGCACATTGCTCTCCGTTACTTCCTCACGCGAGATCTGCAGCAGCGTGGTCAGCTTCGTCTTGCTTACGTGGCCACTCGGGCCAACACTGCTGATGTTTTCACCAAGGCCCTTGGGTCTAGTGATCATCAGCGTTTCTGCACTGCTCTTGGGCTTGTGCCCACTCTGCCTCACTTGCTTGTCTCTTGATCTTGCTCTTGTTGTACACTGATATACATAAGTATACCTGCATGCTTACACTTGCTAGGTTGTGATCAGTGTACCGCTCTTCGCTATTATAAACTCTGCATGTGAACTGGCCTTGTGGCCGCTTGCTTGTGCTCAGAATGCGTGGTGACCTTGTGATCCACCCTGAGCTTTGCTTTGCCTTGCTTCTTCTCTTGACTGGTCTTGTGACCCCTTGTTGTCCCCCACTTTGCCTATGGGGGTGTGTCAAAACATGTTTATATCATGTTAGTGATGTTAGGCTGTAGTGGGTTACTCCCTATGGGGTACAACCCTTTGTTAGGGTTTGTTACGAGTGCAATTGAGTGAACGAGCGAGAATTGCACTATCGAAGCAAGAGTCCAATGAGCGAAGGCATGAGCGAATAATATATAGCGAAACTACAGTGGTAACGGTAAAGTGGGAAATTGAGGTGCGCTACGGGCCTAGCGCCGAGGTTTGGAGAATTGTCGAGGCGGAGGTCCGGAGCACGGGTTACCGACCGAACCGTTAGGTTGGGTCGCGTCGTGAACAGTGGCGGGAGTCGTGGTCGAGGCGAGTGTCGTGAACGGGTAACGTGCATGGATGGGTGCTGATGGTGGGAACGGTTATGTACGCGGTAAGCAGGGACGCGAAGTAAGGAAAAGGAATTTTCCTTACAGGGTTGCTACTTGTACCGTACCATTCATCCTGTTTAGTCCATCATTCACTGTTTCCTTATTCTGACAGTCTTGACTGGTCTTGTGACCGTTTGTCTGCCTTGCTTGTTTTGATGCCCCTCACTTATGGGGGTGTGTCAAATGTTGATATTTGTGATAGGCTGTAGTGAGGTGCTCCTTAGTGAGTACAAACATGTTAGGGTTTTCTATTTGTACCCCAACTCCTTTCTAGTCAATCATTCCGTTGTGTTCAGATTCTGAGACTCCGAGCCTGATATCAGGTACCCTGATAACAGGCCCGTAGGAACACGCTCTTAGAAAGCGTGAACGAGCAGACGAGACGCAAGGATCTGTTGGAATGGAACATGCTTCGACTAGTAGGCCCAATAAATAACTTTCAAACAGATTTGTGACATCCGGTAACTACGGTAACCATCTGCCAAATCTCCCTCTGCTTCAAAACAGGCTGATTAGTTTCTCTTGCACCTCGAGTTCCAGAAGTGTGTTGATGCAGTGTCTCGGTGCTGGGATAGACTGCTGTAAGTGACTGCTGGGAGCAGCAGCAGCACCAGAAAAACCAGCTGAAGTAGCAACAAGAGCAGAGATTGAAGAAGCAGCATTGGCAGCAGCCCTTGAAGCAGCACTCAGAAGCTCATGCAGTTTAAGCCTGGTCTGGCAAGGCTGGAACTGCTGCTGCTCCTGCTGTTCTTGCTGCTGGTGCATCTGGTGCTGCTGCTGCTGTTGCTCCTAATGTTGGTGCTGGTGCTGGTGCTGCTCCCAGTGCTTGTGCTGCTAATGCTGCTGGTGTCGGTGCTAGTGGCGGTGGTGCTGGTGCTGTTGCTGGTGCTGGTGGTGCTGCTACAGCAGCAGATTGGTTGAACATCGTTCGTTGAGACAGTTGCAAAAAAGCAGCAGCTGCTGACGTGGCAGCCTGCAGAATTGGTCGAATATCCTGAGCTGACGCAGCAGCTCGAAGCAACGGGCTTATATCCTGTGCTGACGTGGCAGCACAAAGCAATGGGCTTATATCCTGCACTGATGTGGCAGCATATGATGACGGGCTTGACTCCTGCACTGATGTGGCAGTTGCTGATTGGACAGGGCGTGATTTGTGACAGTGGCATTGGCAGCAGCATCCTGTGGAGGCGCCTGTTTGGCCGGTGAGCGGTGGTGCTGGATTCGGAGGGGGATGGTGGGGTGATGAGTGGTGGAGGTGGTTGTGGTGAGGTTGTGTGGGAGGAGACTGAAGAGTATTTTGGGGAGGATAATTGGGAGGATAATGGGGAGAATCACGCTGCTGCAGTTGCACACGAGGTGTGTGCTGCTGCTGCAGTTGTTGCTGTAGCTGCTGCTGCTGCTGCTGCTGTTGCTGTTGCTGTTGCTGTTGCTGTTGCTGTTGCTGTTGCTGTTGCTGTTGTTGTTGCAGTTGCTGCTGCTGCTGCTGCTGGTGGTGGTGGTAGTGCTGTTGTGGTGGGTGCTGGTGCTGCTGGTGGCCCTGCTGCTGATACGTTATGGGTGGTTGTTGCATGCTCCCTGCTGCTGGTGAGGGTGGTGCTATCGCAGAGATGCGGGTTTTACCTGCTGCTGAAGCCACCACTGGGAACGTAGATGCTGCAGGGGGTGCCGCTAGTGCTGATGCTGGCGCTGCTGGTGATGTTGCATATGGCGCAGGTGATGCTGACAGTTGCTTTGCTTCTGCTGATGGTGCTGCCGATGCTGCTGCTGATGCTCCTGTTGCTGGTGTTGATGCCATTGCTGCTGCGTGGCCTGCTGATAAAGACCCAGCAGGCCGACGCTGTAATGGAAACGAGTTTGCTTGTAGTGAAGATGCCACTAACGGGGATGATGGCAGCAGTGGCGTTGGGGATGCTGCAGGGTTTGCTGATGTCAAGTTGAAACCCGCAGGGGGGTGTGAATGAAACCCTGGCGGCGGCCGTTTCATTGGTGTCCGAGTGGGGTCAGGGAGATGTAATAGCAGTGAAGGGCTGGGGCACACAGACGCGGCAGCTCCTGGTGCTCTGTTACAAGGCACTTCACTTGGAGTAGCTGAACCAGTAACATGTATCCGGGTTGATGTAGACGGGAGTGTACTTGGAGAAATCATTCCCTTGCTTGAACCACTTCTTGCCACGGTGACAGGGAGATTGGTGCCTGGTGCTGTCGCTGCACTGCCTGCTACATTGCATGCTACAGTACCAGCTGCAGTGCCGACTGCAGTGTTAGGTGCAGTAATAGCTTGTTGTCTATCCATGGCGGAAGCGGGAGTAACAAGGCAGAGAGAGCTTGCAGGCGCCTCCTGATTGAGCATCCACTCTATCATATCCTCCTCTCCACCCTTCTTCTCATTTTCCTCCCCCCCAACTTTTCCCTCCCCCTCGCCCCTCCCACTCACCACCACTCCCCTCTCCCCCACTCCTGCAGTGTCCCCTTCCTCAATAGCAGCAATCGCGGCTCTATTCGCTGTTACTGTAGTCGCGGTTACTGTAGTTGCTGTTACTGTAGCCGAATCCGAACCCCAACCGCCCGTGTAGCTGCCTCCTCCCTCCCCCATCCCCGAAAACGCTCCCGCGGTACCCTCCCCTAGGGCACTCCAAAACATTTCGTCGTCTGCTCCCATCCAATCGTTGAGAACGTTTGGAGGGCAGCTTTGGTTGCACCGACGCCCACCACGGGCAGCAAAGAGGAGATCAATTTCCCCCAAGCCAATCATATCTTTCTGAGCTTCAAGTTTTGCAGCGTGCGCTGGGGGTTGCTCCTGCAGTAATTGTTGCTGCCCCGATTGATTATGTTGCCCCGGTTGATTTTGCTGCCCCAATTGATGCTGCTGCCCTAGCCGTATTTGCTGCTGTTGATGCTCCTGCTTTTTGTGTTTCAACCCTCCCTCCGTATCTTGCTCCCCCACTCGAAGCACCTTCCCTCCCTCCCCCCCAGTCAATATCTCTCTGCCTGCCTCCGCTTTGCAATCCGAGTCGGTCGTCATAGGAACATCCGCTGAGACGTTCCCCCGTAACTCCGCCTCCTCCGCCGAGACATTTCCCCCTCCCCCCATGGTTTCGCCAATGCCCCTGCCAATCTCCTCCCCCGCGCTGCCGCCGCAGCTAACCCCCGCGCTTGCCCCCCCAACACTCACTTTCCTCCGCCGCGACCTCAAGCCCCTGAACGGCCTGCAAAGTTCCGACGTGGCGCTCTGTAAGCTTGCCACGTGTTTCGCCGCGCCTTCCCTAATAAGCCTCATCGTCTCGATCCCGAGAGCAATCTGCAGCCGTCGATCGACTTTTCCACCGTTTTTCGCCAAGACCTCCGCGAATTGCGCCGCGTATTCACGACTCCCTTCGAAGTTCACTCTCGCGCGTGATCCGCGAATCGCGAGCGCCGCCGCGTCGTACGCGAAAGCCGCTTCGTCCTCCGTCGCGTACGTCCCTAACCACACGCGCGCGCTCTTCGCGGAGTCTCGAATCTCCGCCGCCCACTTCCCCCACGGGCGCTGGCGCACCCCCCGGTAGTGCAGGTAGGGGGAAGCGGAAGCCAAAGAGAGTTCGGACGGCGAGGGGAGGGGGAGCGACGACGAGGATGGGAGCGAGAGTGGGGAGGGCGGGGGGAGAGAGGAGGAGGGAAGAGAGATGGAGGGGAGAGTGGAAGGGGGAAGGGAGAGTGGGGAGGAAGCGGAGAGTGGTCGGGGGGACGCGAAGGGGAGGGAGAGCGGGGATGGCGGGGGGAGGGAGAGCGGCGCGAAAGTTGCGGAGGAGGAAAGACCGACTCGAGAGCCTGTCCCCGTCTGTCGTGGGGTGGATGGATCGGAAAATGACACGTGTCGTTCCGTAACAGGTTTCGAGTCGCCAATGATAGGTTTTGAGCCAGAGAGACCGCGGCTCGACTCCGCAACCGGCACCCTCTCCCCCAGGCTTGAACCGCCTCTGGCGCCGTGAACGACGCCGTCAACAGCGCTGCTACAAGTTACGGCATTACTGTCAACGTCCGCTGCTAGATTCGGCGACTCGTCCGTGCTACCCCTCGTTTGCGGAACACCCTGCGACTCCCCTGCGACTTCGTGCGACCAGGCTGCGACGCCAGGAACGTAGACATCGGCGGACATGCTTTCGCAAGGCTCTCTAACTGACGGGAGCGCAAATTCCGGGATACTCTCAGGTAGCAACGCGGCCCCGCAGCCGTCAAACGCGTCGGTGCTAAACGGCAGCATCTCGGCCAGCGGGTCAAGCGACTGCTGTCGCTCGCAAAGAACCGCATCCCCTTCGCGCTCGTCGCCCATCACGTCGCTCATCACGTCGCCAAGAGTCGCCGCAGGGCGTTCGGCGTCGCATCGCATCCATTCGGGAGAGACCATAGCACCGTCAAAAGGGCCTACTAAGCTGGTCGCACCATTACTAGTAGTACCCTCAGGACCGTCGCCGAAGGCGGGTGACGACAGGAAGAGCTCTGAAGCGGAGAGCATTCCATCGTTGGAATAAAACAACGGGCTTTCGTCGTCTCGATACTCCATGGCCGCTGATCGCGGAAAAGTTGATCTGTAAGTCTCACGCCGCCTGCTTTTTCGAGGTACGAACACCGTCCTGGCTACGAATACGAGAATACGTGAGTATGCGGTGATCAGCTTCACTTATGATATGACCCGTCTGAAGCAACTCGCCCGTGTGCCGCGAAGCAGCCACGCGGCACGGAAGCAACACTGGTTGTACTCTCGATACAGTAACACCCTTACTAGGACCACTGAAGGTACCAGCGAATAGTTGAACCGATTGGACGCCGAAGCATGGGCGATGCGGTGGTAATGGCGATCGTGCGGAACCGCGAGGCGGTAGTGATAAGTAATGGATCTCGAATTCCGGCGCATCTCTACTTCTTTACGAATGTCGCGACCAGAGCAAGTGTTCTTGCCGATAGGCGAGGTACAAGCGCGGGAGATTCAAGGCTAGCGCATGCTTCGGACGATGGAGAACGCATTGGAAACGCAAGTTGCATCGGTCAGGGCTGCAAGGGAGGAACCATGCTTGTTCGGCGGATGCGGCGCTGTAGGGAGACAGCAATCGGATTCGCCCGTTTCGGCTGGTCAGGGCAGCCAAACTGGGAGCGGCCTGTGACGTTGCGTGGAGTGGCATCACGAGTGTGAGGAGCGATTAGCGGGAAAGACGGTACTGTAATTCGGTGGGTACGTGGTCAAAGGAAATACACGAGGAAGGTCCGTTGTTTCGGCAAGAATCAGCAGCAAATGAGCAACAGAGTTGAGTACACCCTGTTTCTCGCTACACTGAACTGCGGAAACACACTGAACAGTGGAACTGTTCGTTGGACTTATTCGAAAATTTTACACTAACCGTCTCTAGGAGGCGGGTGATCCGAAATTTCGTTAACCTGGGTACCCTACCGAGCCATATTAAAAGTTCAACTGACCGTCTTCAAAGGTAGCTGACCTCGTCAAACCGAACTGGTGCAAAAGTTGACTATAGCGCGTAATTTGGCGCGTTGAGCCAGAGGGTTCAGTATACCGGAATTCACAATAGCGAGAAACAGGGTGTAGAGCTGGAAGCCAGAGGGACACAGCTGGAGTTGTGGAGCGGGGCAGGGGGGGGCGTGTTGACGGGGGGTGGAAGGAAAAAGGAGAGAGCTGATGCAGTTGAGCTGGGCTGTGAGATGGGAAGGAAGGGAACGACACAAACGTGCGCTGGGCATACGGGTTCGACCGCGCCGCAGGAAAAGGATGAACGAAGTGCAACTTTGACATGCTAGGATTTCCCAAATAAAACGCCATTTGAAGTGACACATGGACTGCTTCGACAGACCACGGTCAGATGGAACTTTGCTGAACCGCAAGTCGCAGGCACAAGGGTGGCGGTACGTTGGAGGAACACTGTAGCTGAGCGCCTCGTCGTTTGATGACTTCGCTTGGCCTTGGGCAATTTCCATTGGACGAGTGCCCCGAAATTCTGAAGTACGGCTGCGATATTGTTGTGGCAGGTGGCGGAAGGGGGGGAGGGGAGGGGAGGGCCGAGAATGCGCAGCTGGGAAGAGCACCCCCTCTGAGGCCGAGAATGCGCAGCTGGGAAGAGCACCCCCACCCCACTCTCCCCACAACTTCGCAAAACCCCTTTCGCAAAACCTTCGATCACCAGTTCGCCACGTTCACAGGCATTCACAGGCATGTCGTGGAACCGTCAGAAATCGGAACGAATGTCGGTGATGGCGGCTTTATCCGGTGAGGTGATAAGTAAAGGCTTCCGTACACTCCTATTGGTCGCACAAAGGGCTCTTGATGTGGGTATCTGTGCCATCCCCACGTGGCTCCACTTCAAATATGCTACCGTTACGTTATGACTGCGGATGTATTACATTCTATGATGTATTTCATCCACCAAATGATTGTACTTACTGAATATACTATATATTATGACCACTTTTTGTATGTAAATGCATATGCTTAAGCATTCCTTGTTATGAAACATAAAACAACCCAAAAAACATGTCAAACAACCCACACAATCACCTCTGAAGCCATGCGGCCACTTTTACGGCTAGTTTCTTTTGTTTAAATTATGGCAGTGGGGTGGCGTGTACTGTAACTGATGATTGATGCTAAATAAATAAATAAAAAATCACAAAATCATCAAAGCGCACTCCAGAGGGAAAATGAGCTGAACATGAAAGTGGAATGAACGTGCATAAAGTGGAAATGAGCGCTGAAGAAGATGTAGCGTTCTGGAACGAACGGGAAAGGGACCTCGATATTGTCGCAACAATATTAACGAGGATCTGGCATTGTCTTTATTTTCTAGATTCCAGTTTCTTGTAGGACAATACCTAGGATCCGAAGTAACTGTACCTAGGTGACTAGGTCCTGTGCTCCAGTCTACTGGGATTTATAACTGTCGCACATCGCTGGAAGATTCGTATGCCAGCATTCGCCTCGTCTTCTCTCCTGTGAATTTCGCCGAAGTTTGAGTCGAATCAGAACCATTCACCGCATTGCCAAGGTCTATTCTCCAGTCTAGTTCTCCGACGCACTGTCCATGGCTGCTGTGACCGACCCTGCGGTATTCACGAAGCTCGCGGAAGATAAGGCGTTGGAAACGAATGGTCTCGGAAGTTCAGCCGGGAATGGCGGGACATCTGACATGCCGGCCGTCAGCTCAGGGGATGTAGTCACAGGAGGATCGTCGGATTCCATCCCCGCTGCTTCTAACGAAGCGTACGAATCCTGTTAACGAAGCGTACACGATAGGATCCACGAACGAAGCGTACGACTTGATGCCAAAGACTAGTTACCCTCCCTGCCAGCATACTCGGTTCCGAGCTTCATGTTCTAATATTAAGCCACTGCACCTCTTTCCCTAATTGAATTCGTGATCTGACACCGAATCATATCGAGCTCTCACTCCCGGCAATCGCTCCCCATGATCCGTCCCCTATCCGTCCCCTCCCGTCCCTTATCCGTCCATACCTCTTTTGCGACTGGCTCCTTCCGCAGAAGCACGGGAGACGCGGTCCCGTCAAAGGCAAACGTAGAGACGAATGCCGCTGCGACGGAAGCAGCAGCAGCAGCAGCAGGCGGGGGTGGAGCGGGAGGGGGAACAGAAGGAGACAGCAGGCCGGCAGGGGAAGCCAGTTCGGATAAGAACGCCGATCCGACTGAAGGAGCCAATCAGGCGGAGGAGGGGACTCCGCGCGGGGATGGCGGCGAGGGGGCGGGGGGGGGCGGGGGGCATACGATGATCGGCGGGAGCATCGTGGGGGACGTGCTGTACAGCATCGCTACGGGCGAGGAGGAAGGGCGCTCGCGCGCTCGCATCCTCGCATTTGCCGCGAAACGGTACGCGGGAGAGAGGGAGAGGGGGGTGAGAGAGGAGGTTGAGATAGGGGAAGGCCGAGAGAGGAAGGGTTGAGAAAGGAGAATCGATTCCACAAGCATCCCCACTCAAGTGCCACATCCCCACCCACCTATCGACCACACACACCCCCACACGCACGTTTCACTCCCACTCACGCTTGTCGCCCGCAGGTACCAGACAGCAGTGGAGCGCAATCCGCGTGACTATGATGCACTCTCCAACTGAGCGCTGGTGCTGCAGGGGATTGGAGTGAGAACAAGCTTGTACCCCCACACCCACCCACCCGTCCCCCCACAGGTATCAGACGGCAGTGGAGCGCAACCCGCGGGACTACGATGCACTCTACAACTGGGCGCTGGTACAACAAGGCACACACACACCTACATATCACACTCTCGCCCCGCCCCTCCACAGATACCAAACGGCTGTCGAGCGCAACCCGCGGGACTATGATGCGCTCTACAACCGGGCGCTAGCGCTGCAGGAGAGTGGAGAGAGAAACCACCACCACACATGTCCCACCCATCGCCCTGCACATGTCACCTGCAGGTATCAGACGGCTGTCGAGCGCAATCCGCGGGACTATGATGCGCTCTACAACTGGGCGCTAGTGCTGCAGGAGAGTGCGGACAACAGCGGGCCCGAGGCGGGGCTGCAGGGGAAGGACGCTCTTCTGGAAGAGGCGTGCCGCAAGTACCAGGCCGCTAGTGTGCTGTGTGGCACGCTGCATGAGGTGAGAGGGGGGGAGGGCGTGAGTGCAACAGGGCGTGTAGGGGCGCTGGTACTGCAGGAGAGCGCGGCCAAGAGCAGGCCCAGGGAAGGGCAGGGCTGCAGGGGAACGCCGCTCTTCTGGAAGAGGCGTGCCGCAAGTACCAGGCCGCCAGCGTGCTGTGTGGCACGCTGCATGAGGTTAGTGGAACACAGAGGAAAGCAAACACAAAGGAAAGGCAAACAGAGTGCTGTAGGGAATCAGTGCAGCAGGGCGTGTGAGGGTCGCTCTGCTGGAAGAGGCATGCCGCAAGTACCAGGCCGCTAGTGTGCTGTGTGGCACGCTGCATGAGGTGAGGGAGGGAGAGAGGTGAGGCAGA